ATGGCCACCTTGGTTGGATGTTTTATAGAACTCCTAGATCCTTCCCTTTCCCCTATTGTTCCTGCTTTGATCCACACTGCCAGCTCATGCCTTCCCACCATTTTTCCTTGCAATGTCCTCTGGGAATAAGCAATGATCATCTCACTTTCTTTGTCGACTTATGTCCCTCTAATTCTTCCTCAAAACATCTGCCATGATATAAATGGACCAAAAGGAAAGCACTTTGCTCCATTATAAATACTGCTGGTTGGGGAGGGGATGTTATTTTGCCTTCATGTATGTCTCTGTGCCACTTGCCTACCTATTCTCTTCTATCTTCAGAGGCCAGGAATCCCTGGTATTGGAATTACATGCAGATGGTTATTAGCTGTCATGTGGGTGCCAGTGCTCTTACCCACTGAGTCACCTCTCCTTCTCCTGCTGTTAAATTTTTGGCCAACCCTGACCAATATGCAATTGAAGGAATGCTTAAAACAGGTGAGTTAGGACAAGGATGCTCTGGAAATACAAACACACATTGTGCTTCTAAAACTCAGCATTAGAAAAATTGCATACATATTGCATAAGTCTTTTTTATATTCACTACTGGAATATTAATTTTACCTTGTTCTTTTTACTTTTTAATGTGGTTCCTAGAAAATTTCAAATTACGTATTTCTCACTGTGTACTCTAAACAAATGTCTTCTCAATGGCTCTGGAGCACTCATAAAATGAAAGGCTAATGAAGTAATAACTACAAAGGCAGTTTCCCTGCTCTGCCAACAGTTTCTGGAAAGGATGTCCATTCTTGGTAGGACTCCCAATGGTCATTCACAGCAGGCACATTTTAAAAAAATATTTATTTTATGTATGTAAATGACCTGACTTATCTTCATGCATACCAGAAGAGGGAATCAGATCCCATTACAAATGGTTGTGAACCATTATGTGGTTGCTGTGATTTGAACTCAGGACCTCTGGAAGAGCATCCAATGCTCTTACCCACTAAGCCATCTCTCCAGCCAAAACTGGCATTTTATAAACACCTCTGACCCTCCATTGATTTTACTGGGCTTGGAGCTGATGTTTGTTGGTTGTCGTTTTCTTACAGTTGCAATGATTCTATTATTGTGGCTTGTATTACCTTTTAGCTGCTGTGATAAAAAAGGATGAGCAAGGCAATTAAAGGGAGAGTTTCTTTTGGCTTAAGTTTCAAAGGTATAAGAATGGCAGCAGAGTGGAAGCAAGGAAGATTAGAGCAGTAAACTGAAAGTTCAAATCTACAAATTGCAAGCATAAGCCAGAGAGAAATAGATACAACATGGAGTTGTTAAATTCCCAAAGCACAGCCAAATGGTGGCCATGTGGGCCTTTAATCCCAGCACTTGAGAGGCAGAGAGGTGGAGCTCCTCAAGTTTGAGGCTAGCCTGGTCTACAAAGCAAATCCCAGGACAGCCAGGGCCGTTATACAGAGAAACCGTCTCAAAAAAACAAAACAAAATCCCAAAGTCCACCTTCAGTGACATAATTCCTTCAATAGGCCGTAACCTCCTAAACCTCCCCCAAACACCAACTGGGAAACAAGAGTTCAAACATCTGACCCTATGGAAAACATTTTCATTCAAACCACTACCTACTCTAACAAATTACCACAAGTCTAGTATATCAGACAATACAATGTTATGTCAGTTCTGTAAAGGACAGGACTGGTAGGTTCTACTGCTTTCTCTACTTTAAACAAGTCTACAGTCACTTGCAGGCTCCCTTAAATTGCTAGTAGAACTGTCTTATGCATCCAATTGTAGACCTGAGCTTTTGCTTTTGCTTTTTTTTTTTTTTTTTTTTTTTTTTAAGTGTAGGAGTTGTGGTCAGCTCTAAGAGGCCTCCCTCAAGCCCTGTTTTACACCTTGGAGTGAGCTTAGAATCGGACTACCTGTTTTCCATCAGCCAGGAAACATCTTCTGCTTTAAGGATTCATGTAACTAGGTTGAGATTATACAAATAATTCAGGAAAAGTTGTCTATCTTTAGGTTCACAATTGTACTGTATCTGCAAAGCCCCTTTCTTTCCAGCAGTGCCTAGAAATCAGTGTTGCAATGATCAGGGGTCAGGATCTTGGTACCATATTTTCAGAATTCTGTCCACTGCTCTTCCTATACTGGAAACACTTGTGAGACAGTCTATTTAGCTCTGGCTGGCCTGGCACCCACTATGTACATCAGGATAGTATCTAATCATAGAGATCTGCCTACTTCTGACTCCAGGGTAATGCTAGAATGAAAGGCCTATGACATCACATATGGCCATTGAAAACATTTTTGCTACACCTTGGAAAAAACAGAAGACCAAAGGAATGGAACAAAGTAGGGAAGAATAAAATGCTCACTGCTAGGAAGGAACTGGGTTGTTTTTTTGTTTTTGTTTTTTTGTTTGTTTGGTTTTTTTTTTTTTTCACTTCAATGGGAAACCACTGAAGGGTTTTCTTATAGAAGACACAAACTAATTTATACTTTAAAATGAAATAGGAAAAACTCCCTTACAATGTCTTTCATTTGCTCAGCTGAGTATGGGCCCAAGTGACTGCCCATATGTGCTAAAGAGAGGAATGTGGAGGAAAGACTGCTTTCTCTTCAGACTATATGTAGTTAGGCCTTGAAAAATGAGTAAGTAGGTAATAAGTTACAAAGGAAAACAGAACTAAACTCTAAGTACCCTGAAAGTTAGCACTTCATCAGGGAGGAGATAAAGTGACAGCATGAACTCATGTCAGCTGACACGGCTCACAAAAGCCAGACCACTGTCAATCACTCTGATGTGGGGACCACCACTTCCTAGTGGGTCCTAGTGGGACACAAACTCTGCAGGACCTTCTCTAATTCCTTCATGAAAGACTGCAGCCCACAAACTGCTCTGCTGCCTAAGCAATAGTTGAGGATGGGGTCCTACGAAAAACCAACCTCAGCTGACCTTTCCACAGGCAGATGACAAGTACAGCTGGGAACTGCAACAATCCAACATATAAACACCCCAAACATGCTATTTGGAAGGACCAATCTTTCTTCCCTTTTCCAGTATTGCAACAACTTACACTCATCTTTCCATTCTGTGGGCTTCCGATCTAAAATTTCCTCTACTGCACCAAATCTTTTGTTTCATTAAATCCCATGTATTATTTGCTAGTCTTATTTCCTATGCTACTGGAAATCTCATTCAGAAAATCCTGTGCTTATGAATTGAAGCATATGCCTATTTTTTTTCTAGCAGTTTCAGGGTCTTGGGTCTTACATTGTCCTTGATCCACTTACAGTAGTGTGCAAAGTGAAAAGAAAAGGATCCTCTACATATGGCTATCAGTTTTCCTCCTATCAGTTGTTTCAGAAGGTTCTGTTCAAGGTGATTTGGCAGCACAGCCTGTGGCAGGGGATTGCACTTCACAGAAAGAAACCAAGAGCCTGCCACTGACACAAGACTTAGCCCCTAAGGTTACAACCCCAATGACTTTCTTATTATAAAAAAGGCTTTCCTCATAAGCTTTCTAGAACCTTCCAAAATAGCACAACTATTTTGGAGCCAATGACTGAACGTATGAGCCAGTGAGGGACATTTCGTACTCAAATCCTAACAAGGATAAAGTATTGGATATTAGTAGATATTGTAAAATGTTAGAAAATAAAAACTAACTCTAATCCCAGCACTTAGGAGGCACAGGCAAGCAGATCTCCGTGAGTTCGAGGCCAGCCTGGTCTACAGAGTGAGTTCCAGGACAGCCAGGAGTGTTTCACAGAGAAACCCTGTCTCAAAAAAAAAAAAAAAAAAAAAAAAAAAAAAAAAAATTGAAAACAGTAACTTAAGTTCTAATCAGATAATCATGTTTCAAAGAAAAAAACTAAAATTTGCAAGTTTTTAAAACAACAATGTATAAACAAAAGGTAGATGAAAAATGTTGATACATACTATATCAAAGAACAAACTTTTAAAATTTTTAGATTTCCTGTGTAAATAAAATTATGGAATTTTTTTCCCTGCATGTGTGCATTCGTACCAGCTGTACATGGTGCCAGCTGAAGTCAAAAGAGTGCATTATATCCCCAGGAGCTGGAGTTACAGATGGTTGTGAGCCACCATGCAGTACAAACTTTCTAAACTCAGTCATTAAAAGTGTTTCAAATTCCATTTCAAGATGTCATGTTCCCAAGAGAAAAATATCAACTTCCATGTTAATTAATTATAGCCCATCTATACTGCAGACTCCCAAACAGTGTGTAAAGCAAGGTAACTATAGACATGTATGATAGCAAGAAAAATGATAGCAAAGAAAAGGAGCTGGCTAACCAGACATGGTGGCACAGTTGGAAGAATGAGGCAGGAGATTGTTTCATGCCAATATGGCTGCATACCAGGTGAAGTGGGGAAATGTAAAACAGACTACAAAAGGAAATACACAGTAAAATCATAGCACTGTATAAAACAAAATAATCTGAAAGTATCCCCCTCAAAGTGGTAATAAACTAATAATATATTTTATTCTTTTTGTTTCTGTCTTCTGAAGTTTCTACAATGAAAATGTTTTACAAAACAAAATGATACAATTTTAACATAGTTAGTTTTATAGGCTTTGAAGTGGTATCAGGTGAAATATTAATGGAAAACATTCCAGACCCCTAGAAAAAAACACTTATCATCTTCTGTTTGGAGTGGGGATACTACATTCCTGATACCAGATTACATCTTGCTATTTCTAAACATGTTTTTTATTAGTTAATTTTGATAGGAAAACACACACACACAAAACAGGTTAGAAACCAGCACAGGTTACTTGGCTTAGTTTCTGGTGCCTTTGGTAGGATCTTAACTCTATGTAAACCAAGTAAGCAATGCTGTTTCAAATGTAAGCCAAATTACACTAGCCAGGTTTATTACCAAACTAAAGATATAATTTTAACTCAGAAATAAAAGGTCATTCTATTTAAATGAAATGAGTTTATATGTCACATGACAATTAGGAGGCAAACACATCATTCTAATCTGAGGCACAGAATTCAGGATATACTCCACAACAATACAAGTAGCATACCCCAAGCTTCCTATGCTAAGGGTAAAAGTACTGTTACTATTAGATGCCAGCTTCTCCTCTCAATTGCTGTGTTCACTTTCCACAACCAAATGTTTCATTCCAGTTTTCATAAAGCTCCAAGTCTTTTGGAGAAACACTAGGTCGCACAGTTTTAAAAGCATTTTCAAAATCAATATAAGCTATTGGTCTAACTTGATCTGGGCTTATAGTAGCAATATCAGCAGTGTGCAAACTTCGAATAGGACCAAGAGAAGCCTCTCTGCACAGCTGTGTCATATCTGCTCCAGAAAACCCATCAGATTGCTGCACCACCAGTTCAATTTCTTCATCACTGAGGCAACACGGTTCCTTGGACATGAGATTAACTACTATCTGTTTCCTGGCTGAAGCTTCTGGGAGGGGAATATAAAGCCTTTTCACCAATCTTCTCCGGGCAGCCTCATCAATCTCTTGAGGCCGATTTGTGGCTCCCACCACTAGAATACGGTCTTCAGAAGATGTGGTTGCTCCATCTAACTGAACTAAAAATTCTGTTTTTATCCTTCTAGAAGATTCATGTTCACCATCTCCTCTTTGAGACAATAAAGAATCAATTTCATCAATAAATATCACGGCTGGCTGATGACACCTTGCAACAGCAAACAATGCACGGACCATTTTCTCCCCCTCACCTACCCACTTAGAAGTCAAAGATGAAGCAGAGATGCTAAAGAATGTTGCTCCAGACTGACTAGCAATGCATTTGCCAATCAGAGTTTTACCAGTCCCTGGAGGGCCAAAGAGCAGAATTCCTTTAGGGGGCCCTCGTAATCCAGTAAAGATATCAGGCCTCATCATGGGCCATACTACAATTTCCTTTATTGTGGCTTTGGCAAATTCTACCCCAGCAATATCTTCCCACTGCACTGGAGGCCCATGGTCCATAATTTCATTCATAATAAGTTCAATCATCCTTGGCTCCACATTCTTCAGATGGTCATCAATGAGGTGTGCTGTTTCTGTTGACTCTGCCTTAGTGGGCTTGTACTTCACTCTTTCGTTCTGTTCATCTCCATCTTGCTTAGATACAGGAGAAACAAACTTTCCAAATATTCCTCTTGATTTTCCTGCTCCCAAAGACTTTTTCACACCACCATATGAAGATTTTGATACATTCTGGGATTGGTGGCGCCTTTTTTTTTGATCTTCCCGTAATTGTTCTTTTGCAGTTTTAAAGGTAGGCAGACTATTATCTTCCCTTTGGTCACTGTCTTCTGTTTTACTAGAAGCCTTATTCAGTATTGGATCAGGAAGCATGTCAGTGGTGCCAGAACCATAAAAAACCTTCCTTTCTCGTGGATTTTCACAACCAGAAGGAAAACAAGACAGACTGGATAAGAAAGTATTTGGTCCTGTGTTGGTTTTAGGAAATCTTTCAGTTTCCCTTTTGGTATTTCCAAATAGTGGTGTAGTATAAAATGTTGCAGTGGCTGACTCTCCTAAAGGTTTTGAGGAGGTGGGACAAGTCTTAGTGATATTAGTTGGTGTAGGCTGCAGAGCACTCTGAAACTTCAAATGTCCCAGACTGCTGCCTGGGATAGCTTGGGTCCTATCTGTGTCTTGAACTAAACTTGATAAAAAGTCACCCTCTCTAGAACTTCCACAAACATTAAATTTAGAAAGCTTAGAGACAGTGGGCTCTTTACTGATGACTACTGATGCATCAGCAGGTTCCAGCAAAGACTCTTTCCACTTCTTTCCAGCTTGCATCATCTCCTGTACCTTACTCATTTTCAAAACATTATTTATTGACAATCCAGATTGCCACTTGTTACTGTCAGCCTGTTGAGATCCTGCCAAAGCTAAAATGCTCTCTGCATAGTTATTTAAGCCAGTTTCAACATTGTCAGAATCAATAATTGCAGAATATTTTTCTGTATACCTTTTAAACAGTTTGGTAGCACAGACCTGAGAGATCTCCGAGTTGGCACATGAATATTGAATGCTTAGTATCTGTTCACGGTATGCATCTGCCTTCTGTCCTGGTGTACATGTGCTGGATGTAACTACAAAGTAATTCTTCTGCCATTCTTCCAGGTGCACAGACCTAGGGCTGGAAGTCTCCATTTCAGAAATTCTCTAACATAAGACAAAATTGAAGACAAGTAAATCAGTATCAAGAAAACAAGAGTTTAAAACTCTCTGCTAAAAAAGGTAGATTTATTTATAAGGTTCATTTACAAGGACATTTATTTGTAAAAGATATCTACTTAATATATTTCAAGTACTCATGACACAAAGATACATTGATAACAGTTTTCAAGATTAAGAACTGTCTTATTTATAAAATAATTTTCCTACAAATAAAACATTCATGAGTTTAAGAACAAAGAATTTAAAGGTAACTGAAGAAAGGGGTTCAGACATGTGACTCAGATGGCATACTAATGTGCCTGAATCCTTGTATTTGATCCCCAGTACACATATATTAGGTGTAACAATACTCCTAGCATTTGGGTGATAGATTCAAAAGGTAAGTTCAAGATCACTACCCTCAACTACACAGTAAGTTTAAAGCCAATCCAAAAGTTCCTGTAAACAAAAAGGAAAGAGTTAAGTGATGAGTGACAGAAGAAAATACCCAATATCAACCTCTGGCTTCCACATACATGTGTGTACACATACAAGAATATGCACAGAAATATTTAAAATCAATCAGTGGTTCAGTATCCCACTCTCATGAGATAGGTTATCTGAAAAAAATCACCAAAGAAACTTGAGAGTTAACCTACACCAGATCAAAAATGGACTCAATATTTACAGGTTGCATCCAACAGGGGGAAAAAAATTCTTCTCAGCAGCCAATGGAATCTTCTCTAGTATAGGACAATCTCTAATTTTAGGACATTTATCAAGGCTAACTAAATACAAAAGAATCAAAATAATCTCTTGTGGGGCCAAGGAGATAGTTCCTTAAACATTGTCCACATTGTTTTTTGAGACAAGGTTTCTCAAAGGAGCTCACCAAGTAGGCTATAGGCTGACTTTTGGACAGTAAACCCCAAGGACCATCATGTCTCTGCCTCCACAGCATGATTACAAGTACCTGCCACCAAGCCCAGCTTTCTTACGTAGGCTCTGGGAATCAAACTTGGGCTTTCATGCTTGTATAGCACACACTTCACCCCAGACTAGAATTATAAGATTCTATGTAAACTTGAAGAAGCTGGAGAGATGGTTCAGCAGTTGAGTACTTGCTGCTCTTATATAGGACTTGGCACCTACATGGCTACTCACAACCACCTTGAACTCCAGCTCCAGAGGTTCTGACACCCTCCTCTGGCCTAACATGCATCACACACACACACACACACACACCTTCCTAATATATGAAGAACTGAAAAATAAACCACTTACACACACACACACACACACACACACACACATACCCCTTCTGGAAAAACAAAAACAACACATACCCCTTCTGGAAAAACAAAAAAACAAAAACACTAACCTCCAATCTTCCAATCAAAAAATGTGCTAATAAACTGGACAGCTCTCACAAAGAAATACCAACAGCCAATAAATATTTGCACAAATGTTCAATATTCTTAGTCATCATGGAAAAGTAAATTAAAACTGTCTGGAGTTCATCTCCCAGTCAGAATAGTTGTCATCAACAAAACAAAAGACAGCAAACACTGTTAAGAATATAGGGAAAGAGGAACCCTTACTCAATGATGATGGGAATGTAAGTTTGTGCAGTCACTATAAAAAAGCAGCATAAATGCTTCTCATAAGACTGCATACTGTATTCTTGGGTATATACTCCAAGAATTCTAAGTCTACATACCATAGAATGATAAGGCATCCATGTTTATAGCTACACTACTTACTGCAGCCCAGGAAACTGAACAACCTAGACGTACATCAACAAATGAATGGATGTATAAATACACAATGGCTGCCATAAAGAAAAATGAAATCCTGACCTTTGCAGGAAATTGAAATCAACTAAAAAACATATGCTACATAAAATAAGTCAGACTCAGAAAGACAAATACCTCATTTTCTCTCATATGCAGAATCCAAATTTAGAAATTGTGTGTGTGTGTGATGTGTGTGTGTGTACATTTACATTTGTATTCATAGATCAGATGAGTATGAAAATAATTTCAAAACTGTTACCCCTACTATACAAATGTAGAATCTGGGGCTGAAAGAGGTAAAGAACTTACCAGAGAGAACTCTGCTGATTATGCACAATTCAAGAAGTCCACAGTTCCACGTGAGATCCTGCGTACTTTACCATGTACTGAATGCTTCTTGATGCTATTAGCACAGATTGAGCTGCATGGAACATAAATATGAATGATAATATACTTAATATTTTTAATGATTTATCATGCATCAACATTTGAAACATGATGCCCCAAACTTTCCCCATTTCTCACAGTGTTAAATTTTAAAACTTATGCTGGGCTGGTGGTGGCACACACCTTTAATCCCAGCACTCAAGAGGCAGAGGCCAGCCTGGTCTACAGAGTGAGTTCCAGAACCTCCAGGGCAACAAAGAAACCCTGTCTTGGAAAAAAAAATTAAAACGTATAAAAGATGAATTGCAAGAAAAGAAAATAGTCAACTAGTAAAGGAGTTTTACATCAGATTTTCCTCAAGACAGTCTCATAAACCCTTCACATTTCTACACAAGAATCTTAGGAAAATATACAATTGGGCCAGACAGATGGCTTAGCACAAAAAGGCACCTCCTCTCAAGCCTGCCAACCTAAGTTCTCAAGATCTATATGGTTTCTGAGTGGCCCCAAATGTACAACTTGGCACAAATGTGCCCCACACACCACTAAATAATGTAAAAACTATTTCTGTAATGTAGAATTTGTATGCATACTAGAAAAAAAAATTTTAAGGGAGCTGGAGAGGAATAGCTCAGACGTTAAGAGCACCGGCTGCTCTTCCAGAAGTCCTGAGTTCAATTCCCAGCAACATGGTATATATAATGAAATATGGTGCCTTCTTTTGGTGTGCAAGGATACATGAGGCTAAATACCATTTATATAATAATCAAATAAATCTTTAAAAAAATGTTAAGAAAATCTTTTGGTTTCCTAAGAAGTATTATGATAAAGTAAAAAGATCATCTACATTTTAAATTAACTTCCAATTTATCTGGAAGTATAGCTTAGTAACCAATACTTTTTGTGTGTTTGAGCTATATTTAATATAGCTTTTTTGGGGGAGGGGGAGGCAACTGAGACAGGGTTTCTCTGTGTAGCCCTGGTTGTCCTGTAACTCAACTCGTAGACCAGCTGGTCTTGAACTCAGAGATTTGTGTGTCTTTGCCTTCCAACTGCTGAGACTAAAGGCATGAGCCACCACCACATGGCTTAGTATAGTTTATGTCCACAATGCTGTGGAAATAATTTATCACATTATAGGTAGGCAAACATAAATATTTGCTTATAATAATAATAGGAAGCTTAACAGCTAATAAAACTTACTTAAATCTAAACTAGTACCAAAACTAGACCAACAGCTCTGGGGCAACCAGCCCTGCTTTCATCTGCTTTAACCCTATTTTAATCTCCATTACACAACACCAGAAATAAGAAACTTAAGGGGAGGTGACTTGGAAAATATCAATACTAAAATCACCAAATCACCTCAAAATTATCACCTTCCACCACCATTTTTAATCAATATTCATCTCCCAAGTTTTACCTCTTTTCCACTCAGCCATATCCTACAACCAGACACAGATAACCAAAAACTGTTTGTCACCGCTGCTCAGTGACAGGTACTGGATTGTCTACTACTTCCAAGTCATTCCAACCTTTTTGGTCTTGATAAAACCTATAAATTATGGTTAAAGAGTAAAGGCATCAGAGATGCATTTCAATCTTAACTTTGTTAATTTTCTGATTAAGCAAGTTACTTGTTATTTAAACTCGACAGTTGGCTTCTACACCAAAGAACTATTTTCCATTGCATTTAGATTTTCTTCAGTACCTTGACTATGGTATCCACTAATATAACAATGATTAAAAACTAGAGTCCCTACTACATCATTTTCAACCTTTACAGAACTCTTAATTTATTAGTGGGAAAGTAATAGGAATTTAGAGCACAGGATCTAAATCCAGACCCTGGACATAAAAGGTTTTTGTTTTGTTTTCTTTTCTTTAATTAACTGTATCTATCAGCTAAGGGTCCTGGTCTAGGTCTGAGGGCAACTTGCAAGAATTGTTTCCTCTTTTCACCACATGGGTCCCCAACCTCAAAAGCTTTTACCAGCTACGCTGTTTCTCAGCCAAGCCACTTCGCAGGCCCTGGACTGTGGATGCATGGTTTGTTCTTTCAGCAGTGACTTGGAGTGTATCTCTTAAGCTATGTTTTTTTTTTTTTTACCTGAAAAAATAAATAAAAACAGAATGAAACATTTAGCTGACAGGTTTTTATAATTATTAGAAGCCATTAAAAGTACCAAGACTTAGAAATATCGGATAAGGGATTGTGAATTATTGTCCCTTCCCTTTGGAAGGTTCCCTCAGGCCATATAGTAACTGCATGGCCTCGAACCAGCTACCTAACCACAACTGACAAACATCCCTATCCCAAATGCTTGGGGTCAGAAGCGTGTCTAGTTTCCACATGTTCACACACGTATTAGGCAGGGGACTCCATTCTAAGCACAAGACTCTCATACAGTTAATATATTACCTTAGCCACATAACCAGACTGTGTGTATTTTAAGTAACTCTTAAGCAGGACTGACAGAACGAGAATTCCCACTTGGGATGTTATGTCGGGAGCCTTTCGGATTCTCACACTGGGGAGGTTCACCTGTGTTAGCAGTGCCGAAAGCACGATTCTCAACCTGAGTGCATTTAGATGGCAAACGAGCTCCAGCCCTCCTCGCGGTCGTGGCGGGAGGCAGCTGCGGCCGACCTGACCCCGAGCCCGCCACGCCCACCGGCACGTCCCTCAACCGCAACCGCCGCCGGGAGCCAGAGCCTCGCCTTGGCTTCCCAACGCCACCGCCTCTGACAACCCGGATCAAAAAAAAAAAAAAAAAAAAAAAAAAAAAAGAATACAAAACGCCAAGAAACGGCCG